GGAAGTTTCTAATAAAGTTTAACATACACTTTCCTATGACAAAGCAATTCCACTCCTAGGTAGAAATCCAAGAGAAAGGTTTACATATGTGCATATGCATAAAAAGAATGTTTACATGCATATAGGGATGTTAGTATGTGTATAAGAGTGTATGCATATAAGAATGTATGTGTGTAAGAATATTTGTGTTCATATAAGAATGTTTGTGACCAAAGACACAAGGGAAAGATTAGTCCAAAGGACTAATGGACCACAACTACCACGGCCTCCACCAGACTGAGTCCAGCACAACTAGGTGGTGCCCAGCTACCACCACCGACTGCTCTGACAGAGATCACAACAGAGGGTCCCGGACAGAGCTGGAAAAAAGTGTAGAACAAAACTCTAACTCACAAAAAAACACCAGACTTACTGGTCTGACAGAGACTGGAGAAACCCTGAGAGTATTGCCCCTGAACACCCTTTTAACTCAGTACTGAAGTCACTCCTGAGGTTCATCCTTCAGCCAAAGATTAGACAAGCCCATAAAACGAAAAGAGACTAAGTGGGCACACCAGCACACCAGCCCAGGGGCAAGGACGAGAATGCAGGAGGGGACAGGAAAGCTGGTAATGGGGAAGCTAAGGTCGAGAGGGGGAGAGTGTTGACATGTCATGGGATTGGCAACCAATGTCAAGAAACAATATGTGCACTAATTCTTTAATGAGAAACTAGTTTGCTCTGTAAACCTTCATCTAAAGGACAATTTTTAAAAATCTGTGCATATAAGAATGTTTGGGAGCCCTGGTGGCACAGTGGTTAAGCATTCGGCTGTAGTTCGAATCCACCAACTGCTGCTTGGAAACCCGATGGGAAAGTTCTACTCTATCCTATAGGGTCGCTATGAGTCAGAATCAGCTTGAAGTCATGGTTTTTGGCAAGAATGTTTGTGCATATATAAGAGTGTGTGCGTATAAAAATGCTTGTGTGCAAATAAAAATGCTTGTGTACATATAAGAATGTTTGTATGCATATAAGAACGCTGCCATGCATATAAGAATGTTTGTTTTAGTTATCTAGTGCTGCTATAACAGAAATACCACAAGTGGATAACTTAAAAAACAGAAATTTATTCTCTCACAGTTTAGGAGTCTAGAAGTCTAAATTCAGGGCACCATCTCCAGGGGAAGACTTTTTCTCTTTGTCAGCTCTGGGGAAAGGTCTTTGTCATTAATCTTCCCCTGGGTCTAGGAGCTTCTCAGTGCAGGGACCCTGGTTCCAAAGGACGCACTCTGCTCCTGGCATTTCTTTCTTGGTGGCAGTGAGGTCTCTCTCCTCTGCTCAATTCTCTTTTATATTTCATAAGAGATTGACTCAAAATACAGTCTAATCCTGTAGACTGAGTTCTGCCTCATTAACATCATAAAACTAAAAAATAAAAATAAAAACCCAAACCTGTTGCCATCCTATAGGACAGAGTAGAACTGCCTCATAGAGTTTTCAAGGAGTGGCTGGTAGACTCGAACTGCCGACATTTTGGTTAGCGGCTGAGTTCTTAACCACTGAGCCATCATGGTTCCATTAACATCACAGAAGTTAGGATTTACAACACATAGGATAATCACATCAGATCACAAAATGGTGGGCAATCACACAGTACTGGGAATCATGGCCTAGCCAAGTTGATACACATTTTGGGGGGGCACAATTCAATCCATAACATCCCACACTTTGGCCCCTCAAAATTCATGTCCTTGCCACTTGTAAAACACATTTATTTACCCTATCATATCATCCCAAAAGTCTTAAATCAACTTTAAGTCCAAATTCCAAAAATTCCTCTTCATCTGTGAAATCTAGAATGCAAGTTATCTGCTTCCAAAGTACAGTGGTGGAACAGGCACAGGCTAGACATTTCCATTACAAATAGGAGAAATCGGAGGGAAAGAAGGGATGACAAGCACCCTGTAAGTCAGCAGAATACATTACATTAGCTTTCAAGGCTTGAAAATACTCCTCTGTTCTCTGAGACCATTGAGGCAATGGCAACGCCCTGCAGACTCTGGATGTCAGTCACACGCTCCAGATTCTGGGGGGATGCCCTCTGCCCTGGGCTTCAGCTCTGCCTTCCAGGCCCACTGGGAAAGCAACTCTGCTCCCTCCGATCAAATTCTGTCTTAGTTATCTAGTGCTGCTATAACAGAAATACCACAAGTGGATGACTTTAACAAAGAAAAATTGATTCTCTCACAGTTTAAGAAGCTAGAAGTCCAAATTCAAGGCACCGGCTCCAGGGGAAGGTTTTCTCTCTCTGCTGGCTCTGGGGGAAGGTCCTTGTCATCAATCTTTCCCTGGGCCTAAGAATTTTTCAGTGCAGGGACTCCGGTCCAAAGGACACAGCCTGCTCTGGGCTCTTCATTCTTGGTGGTAGGAGGTCCTGGAAAGAGTTTGTAGTGCTGCCACTGTCCACTTTGGGCTGGCGCCCGCATATCACACAAAACCGCCTATAAACTAGGCACGAGTTTTCTCTTCCTCAGTCAACTGATCATGAGGAGCTCCCATGAGGCCAAGATGCAGACTGGGAGACAGACGGTAATGTGAAAGTCTTGGAGACCATGGGCATTTGGGCCACTTCCTCATGCCACTTAATTGTGCAGTCAGGTCCTTCTCCGGCCCCATCTTGTATATACCACTTCCATTTAATGATGGAGTTCTGCCGCGCACATCCAACTTTATGGCTCTATGGGTCAGACAACACCGAGTTCATGACTGGCAGCTCAGGCTGCACGGTGACTTGGTGGCCTGTGATTAAACATTCAGTCTCTACTAAGGTGAGTAAGAAGCCAAAAGCTGTTTCTCAAAAGGAGAGTAGTTACCTGCAGAGGTTGGCAGGGCTTTCCTCCAAAATTCTAAGGGTCTGTGCTGTGAGTCACCAGGAGGGGCCTGCCAAAGACTCCAAACAGCATCTCTATCTGCCACTGACACTTCAAGCACCACTGGATCAGCTGGATCATGTGGCCCAAGTGGCAGAGCAGCTTGCACGGCAGCCTGAACCTGTTGCAGAGCCTTCTGTTGGTCTGGGCCCCACACAAAACCAGCAGTTTTCAAGTCACTTGATAAATAGGCTAGAGTAGCACACCCAAAGGAGGGATATGTTGCCTCCAAAACCCAAAGTGGCGCACTGGGCATTGTGCCTCATTTTTAGTTGTGGGAGGGGCCAAATGCAATAACTTATCCTTCACTTTAGAAGGAATATCTCGACATGCCCCATGCCACCGGACCCCTAGAAATTTCACTGAGGTGGAAGGCACCTGAATTTTTGTCAGATTAATTTCCCACCCTCTAGCACACAAATGTTTTACCAATAAGTGCAGAGTCATTGTCACTTCTTCCTTACTAGGTCCAATCAGCATGTGATCAATGTAATGGGCCAGTGTGACATCTTGTGGAAAAGAAAGGCGACCAAGGTCCCTTCAGACTAAATTATGACATAGGGCTGGAGAGTTGATATACCCCTGAGGGTGGACTGTGATCGTTAAGGTTGTACTTCATCTTGGCTGGGCCATGACTCTCAGTGGTTTGGCAGTTAGGATGTATTTTGGCAGTTGTATAATGATGTGATCACCTCCATGATGGGATCTACCGTGAACAGTTAATTAGTTGAAAGAGAGTTTCTTTGGGGGTGTGGCTTGCATCCAAGATGGGTAAACTTTCAGGTAAGGCTTGGAGGCTTTTGCTGGCTCTGGATCCTGCAGCTGGCTCTTGTTCATCTGACTCCAGTTCTTGGGACTTGAGCTAAAGCTACCTGTCAGTCTTGGGATTCGTCAGCCTCCGCAGTCTGTGAGCCAGTGGCCTGCCAGATTACCTGCTGATCTTGGGATTCATCAGCTTCTACAGTCTGTGAGCCAGCAGCCTGACAGTTTACCTGGCAATCTTGGGATTTGTCAGCCTCCACAGCCTGTGAGCCAGAGGCCTGTTGTCTGATCTGCTCACCCTGGGTTCGCCAGTCCCTGCAGCTATGTGAGTCAGGAGAAGCCTCCAGCCTGACCCACAGACTTGGGACTTTCCAGCCTCTACAACCACATGAGCCATTCATATAGACAGACAAAAAGAGAGAGACGTTTCACTGCTTTTGTTTCTCTGGAGAACCCAGCCTAAGACATTTGCATATAAGCATGTTTGTGTGCATATAAGAATGTTTGTATGCATGTAAGAACTCTTTTGTATGCATATAAAAGTGTGTGTATATAAGAATGTTTGTATGCCTATAATAGTGTTTGAGTGCATATAAGAATGTTTGTATCTGTATAACTGTGCTTGTGTGCGTAGAAGAGTGCTTGTAGGTGTATAAGAATTTTGTGGCAGCTTTATTCATAAAGACCCAATACCAGAAACAACCCAAATGAGAGGATGGACTAATTGTGGTATAATCATCAATGGAACTGTACTCAGCAATGAAAAAGAGCCAAATGCTGGTACATGCAACATCATGGATAAATCTCAGGAACAACATCTTGAGTAAAAGAAGCCACACACAAAAGAATTCATACTGTATAATTCTACTCATATGAAGTTCAAGAACAGGCAAAACTCATCCATGGTGATAAAAGTCAGAAAAAAGAATTATCTCAGGGGACATGGCAATTGGCCAGAGAGGGTCACAAGGGAATTTCCAGAGTGCTGGAAATGTTCTGTAATTTTGATCCGGTGGTGGTTACACTAAGGGATAAACCAGTTGTTGTCGAGTCAATTGCAACTAATGGCGACCTCATGTGTGTCAGAGTAGAGCTGTGCTTCATAGGGAATTCAATGGCTGATTTTTGGAAGTAGATTGCCAAGCCTTTCTTCTGAGGCACCTCTGAGTGGACTCAAACCTCCAACCTTTCAGATAGCAGCATCAAGCACATTAACCATTTGCACCACCCAGGGATTCCTATACTAAGAAATAAAAAGTAACAAAAAAGCCCTGTTCCCATCGAGTCAATTCCAACTTATGGAGACCCCAATGTGTTACAGAGTAGAACTTCCTCATAGGATTTTGTTGGCTGTAATCTTTATAGAAGCAGGTCACCAAGCCTTTCTTCTGCAGCACCACTGGGTGGGTTTGAACTGCCAGGCTTTAGGTTAGTAGGTGAGATATGTATGTAAAAAGTTACTGAGCTGTGCACTTAAGATTGGTGCATTCTACTCTATGTAAATGAGATCTCTCTTTAGAAAATAAACAAGTCTTCATTGGAGATTTGAGGAAAGGGATCCCTATATGCCCAGTCCCCAAGGGGCTTCTGCCCCATCCCTCATTCCCTTGCTGGAAGTTCTTCCTTCCTGGGCTTCAGATCTTCTCCTGGTTATCTCTTCACAGCCGCATACACACAAGTCTCAAGAGGCTGCTTTGTAAGGTTTGAAGAGGCCTGTCTTAGGGCTCTGGTATGTATCTCAGCATATGTCACTCCCTGGGGTTCTTCAGCATTTGAGGCCTGGGATACTTCAGCCTGAAGTTAAGAGAAGAGAAAAAGATCAGGTCCAGGGAGGAGTATTTGGTATACCTATATGTAAACATTTACTAACATTTATGTGCCGTTGTCGTTGTTAGCTGCCATCAAGTCAATTCCAACTCGTGGTGACCCCATATATCTCAGACTAGAACTGCTCAATAGGATTTCCAAGGCTGTGACCTATCAGAAGCAGATTGCCAGGCCTTTCTTCTGAGGTGTCTCTGGGTGTGTTCGAACTGCCAAATTTTCAGCTAATCATCTAGCACTTAACTGTTGGTGCCATCCAGGGACTCCTAGGGAGGAGTATTTGATTGTGAAGATTTAACAGTCATAGTAACAACCTTAGAAGGTAGGCAGCCTTCTAAGAAGGGCCCCAATGACCCCCACCTTTTGGTGTTCAGGCCTGTTAGGGATTGAACTGTGTCCCCCAAAATATGTGTTAGAATCCTACTTGTTATACCTTTAGATATAATCCTCTTTGGAAAAAGGGTTTTCTTTGTTACATTAATTTAATCATACCTGAGTACGGGGAGTCCTAAACCTAATCACTTCTGAGTTATAAAAAGAGTAGAATGGTACAGGGTGCCCAGCTACCACTACCAACCATTCTCATCAGGGCCACTATCTTATCTATCTAGTGCTTCTATAATAGAAATATCACAAGTGGATGGCTTTCACAAACAGAAATTTATTTTCTGACAGTTTAGGAGGCTAGATGTCCAAATTCAGAGCACTGGCTCTACAAGAGGCTTTCTCTCTCTATCAACTCTGAAAGAAGGTCATTGTCTCTTCAGCTTCTGCTTCCTGGTTCCTTGGAGATCTCAACGTGTCTTGGCATCTGTCTTACCACATCCCTCCTCTGCTCGCTTGTTTAACCTCTTTTATCAAAAGAGACTGACTCAACACCCCTGAGGTTCACCCTTCAGCCAAAGATTAGACAGGCTCATAAAACAGAATGAGACTAAACGGGCACACCAGACAAGGGGCAAGGACGAGAAGGGAAGAGGGGACAGGAAAGCTGGTAACGGGGAACCCAAGATCGAGAAGGGGAGAGTATTGACATGTCGTGGGGTTGGCAACCAATGTCACAAAACAATATGTGTATACATTGTTTAATGAGAAACTAGTTTGCTCTGTAAACCTTCATCTAAAGTACAATTTCAAAAATTAATAAAAAAAAAAACAAAATAGAAAAGAGATTGACTCAAGACACACCCTACACTAATCCTGCCGCATTAACATAACAAAAACCACCCTTTCCCAAACGGGATTATAACCACAGGACAGAGGTTAGGATTTACAGCACATGTTTTGGGGGCATAATTTAATCTGTAACAGCCACAATAGGTGGATCCTGAAAAACAGGAGAGAAATGTGGAATGGAATTCAAATTCTTAAAAAGTCCAGCCTTACTGGACTGGTTGAGACTAGAGAACTCCCTGAGACTATCGCCCTGAGATGCGCTCTAAACTTTAAACCGGCATCTTCCCTTGAGGTCACTTTTTAGCTAAATAACAGATTGGTTCATAAAATAAAGAATATCACCCATGAGTAATGAGCTTCGTTAAGAGAAATCATCTATAGGAGACCAAATGGTCAAAAATTACTCTAAAGCAAAGATGAGAAGATAAGGGAGCAGGGAAACTAGAGTACTGGAAATGGCACAACAGAACAGAATGAATGAGAATGATGACATATTGTGAAAATTATAACCAATTTCACTGAATAATTTGTGTAGAAATTGTTAAAGGGAAACCTAAACTGCTGTATAAGCTTTCACCTTAAACATAATAAAATATCAGTAAAAAATAAATAAACAAAATTGCAGAGGAACTAATAAAACCTAATAATAACAATTTTTTTTTTTTAAATAAAATGGACACACAGACACACACAGGGGAAGACGGAGGCCATGTGGGGATTGCCAAAGTACCAAGGAACGCCTGGGGCTGCCGACAAGGAGGGAATCGACATGGTGGACACCCTGATGTGTACTTTTAGCTTCCAGAACTGTGAGAAAATACATTTTGGTTCTTTAAAGCCACCCGCTTGTGGTATTTGTGTTACAGCAGCACGAAGGAACTAAACCAGTTGCCACGGAGTCGACCCTGACTCATGGTGACCCCATGTGTGCCCGAGTAGAACTGTGCTCCATAGGGATTTCAGTGGCTGGTTTTTTGGAAGTAGATCACCAGGCCTTTCTTCTGAGGCACATCTGGGTGGACTCAAACCTCTAACCTTTCAGTTAGCAGTCAAATGCATTAATTGTTTATACCACCCAGGGGTTCCAGCTCATTAAACTATTCCATTAACTCATTAATTCTATGAGGAGGGTCATGCATGAGAAAGTGTACTCAGAAAGGAGAAGTCATGAGCTGAAGGTCCCATGGCCAGAAAATGGCATAGAATAATTCAGACAATGTTCTGAAATGTACAGGAAGGTTTAAGGATGGATGAAAGCAGAGGCCCAAACCACTGGCAAAACTAGAGGGGGAGAGAGGAGGGGGCTGAAGGGGAAATACCAAAGGGGAAACTCACCAAGGCAGACGAGCGAATCTTCATAATTACAGACGAATCTGGGAGGAAAGAGATTCTGTCATTGCTTCATCCCTGGGCTCCAGGAGTCAGGGACCCACACACACACACCACATACATGCACACATACACACTCACCATACACACACATTCACAAAACGCATGCACAAACATATGCCTACACGTGTATGCATACACAGACACACATACACACCCCACATATACACACATGTGTCCATTCAGGACACACTCACCATCCACATACCCACACCCACACATACCTACACATATGCATACACACACAAATACTCACATGCACACATACACACCCCACATACATATACACTTGCATCCGCTCAATATATATTCACCATTCATGCACACGTGTACACACACAGGTACATGTGTGCTCATACACAAACATATATGCACAAATGCCTACACACATATGTACACGTACTCACAATACACAAGTAAACAAACGTGTACACAATGTTAGTGCACACCACATGCATGCATGTATGTATACGCTCATTTGAACACACATACATGCATTTATAGGCACACATATGCATAAACACACAAACATGTACACGCACACAGCAAAAGCATGCATGCACAGTCATACGCACACTCTCCATACACACAAAAATATACACAACACACACAGACATATATGCATATGTAACCCCACCACTTTCTTCCCCAGTTTACTTACCTGTCACCACTTCTTCAGATTCCTTGGAAGAGAGGGAGCTGAGACAGAGAAACAAAGTGAAGCATTGGAGGAAAAAGCAATTAGAGAACCAAATCAAGACACTGTGAGTAGGTTGTGGCTGGGATGCAAAGCAAGATGACAGCACAAGTTTCTATAAACCAAAGCCCCTCTCCACTTGCTCCCAGCTTGAATGCCCCACCCTCAGGCCTCTGTGTAATTCAGAGTCCCAGGAAAGTCTCGAGAACTGAGAAGGAAAAAGTGTCTGGGGGTAAAGTGATCTGTAAGGAAAGAATCTAAGGAGAGGATATTGAGTGAGAAGTAGAGGGTGACTGAAAAAATATGGAACCAAGACAGAAACCTGAGGTGGCCATTGGGGCTGATCTGAGGCATAGGAAAGGTTGAGGTAAAATAAAAGGTTATCAGTGGTCAAGGAAATTATGGAGGAAGAGTTAATTACACTCTGAGGGTATTCTCTGAGTAGCTCTACCTTTTGGTCATCTTGTCAGGAGCTGCCCCTGAGGAGAAAAAAAGGAAGAGAAAGGATTAACCCCATGACGTCAGCCTCTATCTTCTATTTCTCTCATTTCCCCCAAAATATTGGCACTTGCTTCCCTGAACTCACCACGTCGGGTGTATTTGTAGATGAGCAGGGCTGAGAGGAGGAGGAGGAGGAAAAGTAAGGTGAAGATGATAATAAGGATGATTCCATTTGTCCCTGGTGGAAGGAGAACATGAGACATGTTCTTATGCTTAAATATGGAATATGGCTGCCACTGCTTAAGTTCCTACTATGTGCTAGATTCCTTGATACAGTTTTCTTATCACTTACAAGTATCCTGGGAGAGAGATAAAACAATTTTACGGAGGAGGAAGCTGAGATTCAGAGCACTGAAGGAAGATTTCTAAAGTCACATGGCTAATGAATAGGCAGAGCTGTGACTCTAACCCTGTTGTTGGCTGCCGTCAAGTCGGCCCCAACTCATGGTGACCCCATACACAAGGAAACAAAATGCTGCCTAGTCCCGCACTGTCACCATGATTGGTTGTAAATTGGACAGATGTGATCCATAGGATTTTCACTGGCTGATTATCAGAAGTAGACCACCAGGCCTTTCTTCCTAGTCTGTCTTAGTCTGGAATCTCCACTAAAATCTGTTAGCATCATAGCAACACACAAGCCTCCACTGACAGATTGGTGGAGGTACACTGGCTGGGAATCGAACCCAGGTCTCCCACATGGAAGGCGAGAATTCTACCACTGAACCAACACTGCCTTATGACTCTAATCAACCCTAAACCAAAAAACTCATTGCCATCAAGTTGATTCTGACTCCTATATGACAGAGTAGAACTGCCCTATAGGGCTTCCAAGGCTGTAATCTTTACAGAAGCAGACAGCCACATCTTTCTCCCACGAAGTGGTTGGTGGGTTCAAACCATCGACCATTCAGTTAGCAGCCGAGTGCTTAACCACTGCACCACCAGGGCCCTACCCATCTCTACAGACCTTGCTTTTAACCACAATCTTTAGGCATCACCAAAATCTATACGTCCTCGGGAACTTTCCCAGTGATGGGGAGTCCACTGCTCCACAAGGAAGCCTCATCCCATGTTTGAATGACTCTATGTCTTGGGAAAAGGAGCCCTGGTGGCACAATGGTTAAGCACTGGGCTGCGAATCAGAAGGTTGGTGGTTCTAACTCACCTGGCGGCTTCATGGGAGAAAGACCTGGTGATCTACTGCGGTAAACATTACAGCCTTGGAAGCCCTATGGGGAAGTCCCATTTTGTCACATGGGGTTGCTATGAGTCAGAATCGACTTGACGGCACCCAACAACAACAACATGTCTTGAGAAGTTCTATTTTTCACCTAGTTCTATTCCTGCTATTGGAGGAGACCATGTTCCTTCAGTTCCATCTAGAAGACAGAATTGTTGAGCAAAAAAATTAAGTTGCAAAGCAACCATCATGTTATACTACTTACATAGAATTTTTAAAACTCTGTGTATTGTTCAAAAAGCATACCTATATAGTGAAAGTATAAAAACACGCACAAAAATGACAAAAACCAACTTCGGTATAGAAGATTCTACTGAGGAGAGACCCAAAAAGAAAAAATGGAAAGAAAAGAAAACTTTCATTTTATCTTTATTTGTGGAAAGGAAAACACTTGGAGCAAACATGATTAAATGTTAACAACTCCAGTGAAACCTGAGAGAACCAGAACTCGCCAGGACTACTTTGTCTTTCTGGGTCTCGAAAGTTTTCCGCCTTTGACAGAGTACAGTCTTACAACTTTTCTATTGCAGGTTTAGTGGAAAATACTTGAGTTTTCCTTCTCTGACAGGTTTCCTCCTTGCACAGGTTCCGACTTACACAGGTTTGCTGTATAAATCTGAGTGATGGGTGCATAACTGTCTGTTATTTTATATCTACTTGGCAGTGTTTTTTAAAATTTCACGAAAGAAAGGAAATTCTTACCAATTTTCTTACTGGTTTGTGGAGGAGTAGTTCTCTGACTTTGAATTCCCTCTAGGAAACAAAACAAAATAACATGGGAGACAGAGAAAAGACATAAGAATACCAAAACATTTTTCTGGTCCCACTCACGGGCACCGAAATCTCCAGCATAGGGTGCACAGAAATATTCTCTTAATTATGACCATGTGTTATGGATTGAAATGTGTCCCCCAAAATTATGTGTTGGAATCTTAACTCCTAATCTTGTGGATGTAATCCTGTTTGGGAAGAGGATTTTCCTTATGTTAATGAGGCCATATCAGTATAGGGTGTGTCCTAAACCTGATCACTTTTGAGTTATATGAAGAGCAGATTAGACACAGAATCCAGCACAAACAGGGGAAGATAGATGCCACGTAGAGATTGCCAAGGAACCAAGTGATGAACAGAAGCTGAAAGAGACAAGACCTTACCCCAGAGCTGACAGAGAGAGAAAACCTTCCACTAAAGCTGGTGCCCTGAATTTGGATCTCTAGCCTCCTAAACCCCCTATGTGCCTGTCAGTTTGTCATACTCTGGGGGCTTGCTTGTTGCTGTGATGCTGGAAGCTATGCCACCAATATTAAAATACCAGCAGGGTCACCCACAGTGGACAGGTTTCAGCTGTGCTTCCAGACTAAGATAGACTAGGAAGAAGGACCCGGTGGTCTACTTATGAAAAGAATAAGCCAGTGAAAACCTTATGAATAGCAGGGGAACACTGTCTGATATAATGCCAGAAGATGAGCACCTCAGGTTGGAAGGCACTCAAAAGACCACTAGGGGAGAGCTGTCTCATCAAAGTAGAGTTGACCTTAATGACCTGGATGAGTCAAAGTTTCAAAACCTTCATTTGCTGATGTGGTGTGACGCAAAATGAGAAGAAACAGCTGCAAACATCCATTAAGAATCAGAACATCGAATGTTCCAAGTATGAATCTAGGAAAATTGGAAATGGTCAAAAATGAAATGGAACACATAAACATTGATATCCTAGGCAATAGTGAGCTGCAATGGACTGGTAGTGGCCATTTTGAATCAGAAAATCACATGGTCTACTATGCCAGGAATGACAACTTGAAAAGGAATGGTGTTGCATTCATCATCAAAAAGAACATTTCAATATATATCCTGGAGTACAACGCTGTCAGTGATAAGATGATATCCATATGTCTACAAGGAAAACCCGTTAATACGACTATTATTCAAATGTATCCATCAACCACTAAGGCAAAAGATGAAGAAATTGAAGATTTTTACCAACTTCTGCAGTCTGAAATTGATCAACCATGCAATCAAGATGCATTGCTAATTACTGATGATTGGAATTCGAAAGTTGGAAACCAAGAAGGATTGGTAGTTGGACAATATGGCCTTGGTGATAGAAATGATGCCGGAGATCGCATGTTAGAATTTTGCAAGACCAAGGACTTCTTCATTGCAATTACCTTTTTTTAACAACATAAATGATGACTATACACGTGGACCTCACCAGATGGAATACACAGGAATCAAATTGACTACATCTGTGGAAAGAGACAATGGAAAAGCTCAGTATCATCAGTCAGAATAAGGCCAGGGGCTGACTGCAGAACAGATCATCAATTGTTCATATGCAAGTTCAAGTTGAAGCTGAAGAAAATTACAGTAAGTCCACAAAAGCTAAAGTACAACCTTGAGTATATCCCACCTGAATTTACAGACTATCTCAAGAATAGATTTGACGCGTTGAATACTAATGACCAAAGACCAGACAAGTTGTGGAATGACATCAAGGACGTCATACATGAAGAAAGCAAGAGGTCATTCAAGAAACAGGAAAGAAAGAAAAGACCAAAATGGATGTCAGAAGAGACTCTGAAACTTGCTCTTGAATGTTGAGTAGCTAAAGCAAATGGAAGAAACGATGAAGTAAAAGAGCTGAACAGAAGATTTCAAAGAGTGGCTCAAGAAGACAAAGTAAAGTATTATAAAGACATGTGAAAAGACCTGGAGATAGAAAACCAAAAGGGTGAACATGCTCGGCATTTCTCAGGCTGAAACAACTGAAGAAAAAATTCAAGCCTGGAGTTGCTATATTGAAGGATTCTATAGGGAAAATGTTAAACGACACAGGAAGCATCAAAAGAAGATGGAAGGAATACACAGAAGCACCATACCAAAAAGAATTGGTCGATGTTCATCTATTTCAGGAGGTAGCATTTGATCAGGAACCGATGGTACTGATGGAAGAAGTCCAAGCTGCACTGAAGACATTGGTGAAAAACAAGGCTCCAGGAAGAGATGGAATACCAACTGAGATGTTTCAACAAAACGATGCAGCACTGAAAGTGCTCACTCATTTATGCCAAGAAATTTGGAAGACAGTTACCTGGCCAACTGACTAGAAGAGATTCATATTTATGCCTATTCCCAAGAAAGGTGATCCAACAGAACGTGAAAATTATCGAACAATATCATTAATATCACACGCAAGTAAAATTTTGCTGAAGATCGTTCAAAAGCAGCTGCAGCAATATATCGACAGGGAACTGCCAGAAATTCATGCCGAATTCAGAAGAGGATGTGGAACCAGGGATATCATAGCTGATGTCAGATGGATCCTGGCTGAAAGCAGAGAATACCAGAAAGGTGTTTACCTGTGTTTTATTGACTATGCAAAGGCATTCGACTGTGTGGATCATAACAAATTATGGATAACGTTGCAAAGAACGGGAATTCCAGAACACTTAATTGTGCTCATGAGGAACCTGTACATAGACCAAGAGGCAGTTGTTGGAACAGAACAAGGGGATACCTCATGGTTTAAAGTCAGGAAAGGTGTGTGTCAGGGTTGTATCCTTTCACCATACCTATTCAATCTGTATGCTGAGCAAATAACCCGAGAAATAACTAGACTAAAGGAAGAACAGGGCATCAGGATTGGAGGAAGATTAATTAACAACCTGCATTATGCAGATGACACAGCCTTCCCTGCTGAAAGTAAAGAGGTCTTGAAGCACTTGCTGATGAAGATCAAAGACCACAGCCTTCAGTATGGATTACATCTCAATGTAAAGAAAACAAAAATCCTCACAACTGAACCAATAAGCAACATCATGATAAACGGAGAAACACTGAAGTTGTCAAGGATTTCATTTTACTTGGATCCACAATCAACACCCGTGGAAGCAGCAATCAAAAAATCAAAAGACACATTGCATTGGGCAAATCTGCTGCAAAAAGACCTCTTTAAAGTGTTGAAAAGCAAAGATGTCACCTTGAAGACTAAGG